CGCCTCTGCAAAGGTTCTGTTTGTTCCAATTTCTATTTTTCATCGTTGTTACATCGCACTCTGACTGGCTCATCTCCTCCCCGAGACCCCTCTGCAAAGGGATCTCCAGTGGCCTGCAAGTGGGCTTTGGGTCTCCACTCCACACTCCCCCCATCATTCACTATACAGATCCCAGCTTTGAGGTGCACTCTGCCCTCTAGTGGACAAGGAGGGGCTTTTTGGATCGTCACTTCCGCCTCTGCAAAGGTTCTGTTTGTTCCAATTTCTGCAAAGCCGCCAGCTTCTCCGTGGGAGAAAGATGAGGCTTTCTACTCCGGTAAAATTTCAGGACCCTACAGGGGCAGTCCTACCCTGTCTTGTAGAGTCACTGTGAGTTGGATTGACTTGGTGGCAGTGAGACTGTTTGTTTCGGGGGGCGGGAGGTGGGGGGGAATCCCCCTTATTCTAGAACAGTAGGCTTCAACAATCAGCCGGGGTAGTGAAATAGAGGCACGGTCGTCCTCCCCCACAGGGGGGCTGTGGAGGGATGGGGGACACAGAGGAGCTTTGTGTGCTGGCCTGCGTTGGTCTCCCTGCTGCTTCTTTGAGGGAGCTGAACGCGCCCTCAGGGGACCCAGCTCCCTGCTTGGTTCCATGTGGCAAACACAGCTGCCTCAGACGGGCCTTGGAAGAACTCCATGGGATGGTGAGTGTATGCCAAGTGCCCATGGATTTTTTTTTTTTAAAAAGCTTAGTCATGCCAGTTCAGTGAGCCTCAGTTTCTCTCCTCTCCACAGGAGGAGCAGATGATGTCCCTCTGACCCCAAGTTGAATGTGCCCTAGGTGGCTTCCTTGGTTGGTCTGGTGGCAGCAGCTAGCCCAATTGAGTTAGTTTATTGTGCCAACCTGGCTGATAAACACATGTGGGGTTAATTGAAGGGCGGAGGGATAAATGGCTCCGTGAGCCTCGCCTTTCTAGATCTCAGGTCTCTTCCTTTGTGATGGTCGGACCAGGGTGCAGCTGCCTTAGCAGTTCCCTGCTTCAGCTTGCAAGACTGACTTCCTGCCAGGCATCCCCAAGGAGAAGCCACATGGACCTACCCCGATGCAGCCCTGGGTGCTGGAGCAGCCGTGTGGAGACCCCTGCCAGCGCTGAGATGCTTACACATTCACTGACTCAGCTTTCCTCCTGCAGTCGGCATCATTGTGTGTGTTTTGTGAGATAGAGGAGGTCTTTGTGGATTAGTGTTGGACATATGGGTTAATGGTCGACTTGTGGGCTTGGGCAGCACTGGGTTGGGATGTTTTCTTGATGCACAGTTAACCTTTATATAAAACTCTCTCTTATATGTGAGTTTCTATGGATTTGCTTCTCCAAAGTACCCGGACTAATACACCAATCCACTCCGTTGGATCCTGGATCAGTGTCCTATGAGGAGGCTAATCACCAGGCTGCTAACCCAGAGGTTAGCAATTTGAGTCCCGGGGTAGCTCCAGGGGAGAGAGATGGGGCAGTCTACTTCTCTAAATGGGACAGCCTTGGAAACCCTCCAGGGCAGTTCTACTCTGCCCCGCAGGTCGGAACCAAGCTGACAGCAGTAGTGGGTTGGGCTGGGCTTATTAAATTCCCTAGCCAGTTACCAGCAAGGAGACCCGAGCTCATGGTAACCTCACGTGTGTGAGGATAGAGCGAGGTCCTGGTTGGTCCAAACGGTTAATGCACTTGGTTGCTAATTGAAAAGGGGTGGACCAGTCTACCCAGGCCAGACTCCTAACCGCCGACAACTATGACATGGTCAATGCCAGTGTGTGCTGCTGTAAGCCCCCAGGGTTGTGGCACTGTGTGGCTCAGCAGTGGGAAGGAAGGCCCGCCACCCCATTGTCTCCCAGCTGTGAAGCTGTGCTCCAAGACACAGGCCGCCACCTAAGCTAGGCTGGCAGGTCTGCCTGAACGGCCTTCTTCCCATCCTGTCCCAAACGCAGCAGACAGAGATGCACCGTGAGAAGGGCACGCCCCTTCCCCAGGTGGGTGCATGTTGCTGTTGGCGGCCCCACCCACTGGTCCACACCAGAGTGCAAGAAGTTAGGGACTTGGAGGTCTCTGGGGGTGGTTGAGGGGGTCAAAGGGCGCCATCCCCAGATGACAGCCACGCGTCAGGGAGGTGTGCAATAATGAGAGCACTGCTGACCAGGAAGCTCGGCCGAGCACCGGACATTAACGTGTCCCTTTAATGTCACCGTCTTCTCTTTGGTAGCAAGCGGCCGAGGGAAACCGCCCTTCAGCCCCCGCTGCTCTGGACAATCTCACGACAGCGGGAAAATGAAGGCAAACGTGGTGTAGACGGGGATGCCCATGGTCTGGAATTTCAAGACCTAGGAGAGAGAGCAAGGCCTGGCCAGTGGCCCTGGGAGCGGCACAACCGCCCTCTGGCGGGGCGGGGAGGCCTCGTGGAGCTGGCTCTCAACCTGGCCTGCGAGGTAGGAGCATCGGGGAGGCGCCTTGAAGCAAAATAACGAGCCTGAAAACCAGTTACCGTGTAGCTTAATTCCACGGCGGGTTCAGCGCCACGTGCGCGGCTGCCACCCTGGCCACGGTCAGCAACACTCACCAACGGTCTCCTTTTTGTTGCTGCCCTGCCTCTCCCCGGCCTCCCTGCGACCCCACAGCAGTGACCGCCCTTCTGCTGCGGGCTCCTGTCCCGGGAGATCACCCGGGAGCTTCAGAAATGTGCTCCACCTGCAAAGCTTCTGGGTGGAGGATGTGGGTGGTGTCCAAACTCCAAAACCCAACTTACTGATCCTGGGCAGTGGGGTGGGGAGAGGGAGGAGTGTGTGTATGTGAGTGTGCATGTGTGTGTTGTGTGTGAGTGTGAGTGTGTCTCTGTGTGTATGTGAGTGAGTGTATGTGAGTGTGTGTGTGTGTGTGTGTGTGTGTGTGTATGTGTATTACCCACTGGTCTAAGGGAAGGCTGGTTCCTCCCAGGTCACCAAGCTGGGCCACTGGCCCTCCTGGAACCCACAGTTCCAGAACAGAGAGTTTTCCTAAAACCCCAAACCCAAGTCTCCCCCTCCTCCACCACCCCAGCACCCCCTGCCCCCCGTTGGTAGCGATGTGGTGTCACAGCCACCAGTGTTAGTGGGATGGCAAAGGCACTCTGTTGGGCCCCTCAACCCTGCTAAAAATCCCTGTTGTTTTTTAAATGGATCTTGAAATACAAACTCACTCCCACTCAGTCCATTCTGATGGACAGTGACCCTATGAGACAGAGCAGTCCTGTCCCTGTGGGTTCCCAAGGCTGTACACCTTCAGGGGAACAGAGTCTCATCGTTCTCCCTCTGAGCAGCTGGTAGATTTGAACTGTTGACCTCGTGGTTAGCAGCCTACCACATAATGGATCTAGAGTGATCCAAATCAGGGCATCTGATTAGTAGCTCCAGCTTTTCATTCTGGAAGTTTTTCTCAATCATAAGGGGGCGGTGTGATGATCCTTAAGAAACTGACCACTGTCCTGTGTACGGCCTGGGGGCCTTGTCAGTGGTCGCCAGAAAAGAGGGAGAAAGGGTGACAGAGAAGTAAAAGAGCAGCGAGAAGGACCCGAGTGGGCTTACGTGACTTTTGCAAGACGGCTTGCTGAACCCGAACTTCTGGGTGATCTGGTTGGTGCTGAACTCCTGCCACCTGTCATTAACCAGGACCCGGGCTCCAATCTGGTACTTCACCAAGCGCTCTGCCCGCAGGCTCACCGGGCTGTTCTCAAAGAGCCAAGGGGGGGAGTGCACATCCGTGTGCCTTACTCTCTGCAAAGAAAGGGACCCCAGCTGGTGGAACTGCAGCCAGGGTGACCCCAAGGCAGCCAACCTGGTCCCGGGCACAAAGACGTCCCATGTAGCATGTGTCCACAGCAAGAGAGCAGGCCCCCCGCCCCCAGTGGGAACACTTCCTGGGCTCATGGCCACCCGATGGCAATCGAGCCCTCACCATCTTCAAAGCTCTGGCCAGTGGGCTAGGGATTGGCCCATCTTGTCAGCAGCATTGAAACTGGTAGGTCTTCATGATCGCTTTACCCGGGTCTAAAAACCACCCTCGTATCCATCGGAGCATTTTAATACGTCCTTAGAGTAATCCATTCAGTTCTTCCATCCAGCAAGATCCATTGCGTAGGGAGGTTTACAGAACACCCTAGTCACTGAAGGGGCCAAGGGCTAGGCCCCAAGGGCCCACGGCGAGGCAGTAAGTGGCCACGCTGGGGTACTGACTCTGGTTTCTTCCCTCACCCATCCATCCACACATCCACCCAGCCGGTGAGTCAGCCATCTGCAGCACACCCGTGGTGGTGTGGTGGTTAAGTGCTGCTCTGTGAGAAGCCAGTGGTCTGATCCCACCGGCCACTCGCAGGGAAAGATGTGGCAGCCTGCTCCTGTAAAGATAAGCCCCCTCAAACCCTGCGGGGCAGCTGGGGCAGGCTTGGCCTCAGTTGGCCATGGGGTGTCCTGGAGACTGACTGTGCTTGGCAGCAGCAGTTAATCCGCAGGCTCCTCAGTACAGTATGGCTTCTCAAGGAGTGTGCAGTCTTAGAGAAGAGAGACTTTGGGAGAACATAGGAGCCGACTGCCACCCTGGCATCTCCCCTCTCCCCACTCTCCTTCTCTAACACATACGGGGCTTTACATGCCAAGCCCTGGTCGGAGCTTTGGGCACAAACGAACACTTGAATTGCCCACAGCACCCCGGCGAGCTAGGTTCTGTTACCTCTCCACCGTAAAGGCAAGGTGAGAGACACGGCGCTTGGACTTGAACTGCAGACTCACGTCCAGCAAGAGCACCCGGGCCAAGCTGCCACGGCAGAAGACCCCACAAGTAAGCAGGGTCAGCACAGGCTTCCTGGTGCTTACTCACTCATCAGCTTCTCATTGCACCACATCAAAGGTCCTGCTTCCAGGCTGGGTTAGCACGTCTCTCTCCCAATCCCATAGCCAGGGCCTTTTCACCTTCGCAAGCGACGTGGATGGATTTCCCAGGCGTGGGGTCAGCACTGGCTTGCTTGTGCTCCCTTACCAAGCTGCACTGACACCCTCAGAAAGAGCATTCCCTCCCCCACCGCAGTGGCCCTTCCTTCTCCTCACCCCATGGCCGTCTGCAGAGTGTCACCCAGCAGGTCTGAATGGAAGACGAATGGAGCCCCAGACCAAAAGCCAGAGGACTCAAATTGAACCCCAGGGTTATCAGCTAGAGGCCATCTGACTACAAGGACTCAACTCTGAGACCCTCTGTCAAACAGGCCAATGACCCCTGCCTCCCTAGGCCGTTATAGGAATGGAATGATGTTAAATGGTAGCACCTGGCTTACAACATGCCGAACCAATCCCGCCTGGAGTCGATTCTGACTCAGAGCAACCCTATAGACAGAGGGTTTCCAAAGCTGTAAATCCTTATGGGAGCAAACAGCCTCATCTTTTGCTAGTGGGTTTGAACCACCAACCCTTAAGATTAGTAGGCAAACGCTTGCCCAATAGCATCGCCAGGGCTCCTTGGCTTACAGCACCGGGAGTAACCGGTGGTCAGTACAAACTGATTAATTCGATAGTCACTGAGGGCATCGGAGGCCCTTCAGACTTACCTGCATATAAAAACTGTACGAGGACCCGTCATGCTTGACTCCCTTTAACTCAAAGAAGAACCCGTACACGCTGACCATTTTTGAGTGAGTCGTATACTCCTGAGTTGTGAGAGAGGAGCAACAATGAGAACAGAGGCTGCATTCCATATTCAAGGGCATGAGACGTCCATAGCAAGACAGTCTACCTCCCACCACCAAAGCCACCAATTTGACCGCTGATGCAAAAATGAAAACGTAATGGTGGCTTCAAACGGCAGACCCAGCCCAACCCCAACCCAACCCCAACCCAAACCCACCATCACAGTTGAGTCTGCTTCCCAGCGACCTTACAGGACAGATTAGCCCTGCCCCCGCAGGGCTTCTGAGCCGTCAGTCTTTATGGGAGCAGACAGCCTCATCTTGCTCTTGCGGAACAGCTAGTGGGTTTGAACGACAGACCTGTGGTATAGCAGCCACTGCTTAGCCCACCAGAGCCCCTTGCCAGACCTCAGTGACCCCACAGATGCTTGGCAGGTGAGCGCTCGGTGACAACGCAGCTCCTTAGTGAGGACAAGAGCGTGGTCGGCGTGTTTCCAGGTGACTCGTGGGCTGCAGAAAGAGCCCTGGCCTCCTAGTGGGTCTCAGCTGGGCTGCTAATCACAAGGTCAGAAGTTCAAAACCATCAGCTGCTCCTTGGGAGAAGGACGGGGCTTTCGACTCCCCTAGCGTCACAGTCTTAGAACCCCGCGGGGTCCTGCGCTGCTCTGTACGGTGACTACGAGCTTGGTTCCATTTTCTTGGGGTCTGCTGGCCTTCGAAGCAAAACATGTTGTTCCAAGTTGATGGGCCTATGGGACTCTCAGGAGCCCTGGAGGCACAGTGGTTAAACACTTGGCTGCTAACCGATAGGTTGGTGGTTCGAAACCACCTGCGGCTTTGCAGAAGAAAAGACTGGTCTCTCGGGTCCTCTGAGAGCTCAGCCTGGGAAACCCCATGGCCACTTCTACCCTGTCCTATCGAGTGGTGATGACAAGGGACACTTCAACCCCAGTGGCCCTTGCCAGATGTCCTGGCCCCTGTGGTCTACAGTCTGACCACTTAGGTCCCTACAGTCAAAGGTGGGGCCCAGTCCATTCAGACCTGGCCCAAAGAGCAGTCTATGATGTTAGATCCAGGGTTTACTTGAAACCAGAATTCCTTTGAGATCACTAATAGGGGGGTTGTAGGGAGACCCGAGTCAAAGAGCAGTTTCTCAGAGAAGGGTGCCTCTCGCAGACCACCCAAAATGAAGCACCAACTCCAGAGCCTCCCTGGAGACTGAGTTCCAAGGTGCTTCCTAGGTAAGTCCTCAGTGCATCAACTGACCAATGGCTGACCACTGCTCTGATTCTGGGCTCCACCCACCGGAGCCCCGGGACAGGCTCCTCCCTGCGACCTTCAGCATAGCTTCATGGTGGAGCCTCTCGCTGAGCCGGCTGGCAGCTGCTGATGTGAGTGGGTCAGAGGGTGGCCCCTTCACTACAGCCAGCCCAGGCCTTTCCTCATTTTAGGACCAGATAGTCCATATCCCAGAGAATGCCCCTGGGCTTGGGAAAAGCAGGGCTGTAGGTGCTGAGTCATAAAAGATTCACTTCGAAGCTCTTGGGACCCGTCCCGCCTGATCTGTCCTTGTATGCCTGAACATCTCAGACCACATGCGTCTACATTACCAATGGGATTCACGGCAGGGTGGGGTGGAGGTTGGACCTCACAGGGGCAGCTTGACCTCTGGGAGGCCTGGAGACCACAGTCAGCCACGCTCATGTGACCACCCCATAATACAAACGCAGGACACAAGGCTCGGGCAAGATTTCCTGGTTGGCCATATATGTACGGGCTGCCACCCATGGGTGCTGGGAAAACTAAGCTCTGCCCTCAGGACCCCCAATGGAAAATCCGACCGGAAGCTCACGCCCACCGGGTCTCTCCAGGACCCGCCCCATGGTGCGCCCTTTCCCTGTGCTGGGCTCTTTGGCTGCAGTGAGCAGAAACCTCCTGTACAGCAGCTTTGCTGAGCTCTGGGAGCCTGGTGAGTAGTTCCCTGAACCCAAGGGTGGTCTCGGGGATGTCCTGAACTGCAGTCATAGAGCAGGGGAACTTGGGGACGCCCGTCAGGTTCATGGGCCCCATCTTGTGAATTCCATCTGCGGGAGTGGGTGGGTGTGCCGGGGAGACACGAAGGTGGCCCCTCCTCCTGGGGGAGAGGACTGCGCACTGTGTTCACACAGAGGCCCCCAGGTGGTGTGGCAGGCAGTCTCCCCAGCCCACCCCTCCCGGGCTGGCTCCGGTTCTGGGTACCTGGGTAAACAGCAACCCGAACCGCAGCGCCTGAGTGTTGAGGTCGACCACCTGGGACATGTCTCCCCCGTTCTCAAGCTGGAAAGAGACACACACAGCTTACCCACAGCCTGGGCCCCCGGGGAGGAGCACCCACATACCTCCTCCTCCCTGGGGGTCCATGGAGCGCCCCCCCCCACCATGGTGCTCAAGAGGCCATCCTCTCACTGGATCCTGCATGTGGCCTGTCCACTGGCCCCACGTAAACCAACTCTGCCTGGGGTGCTTTCCAGGGAGATGAGGATCAAACACAAACGCGTGCCTTCAAGCAGCCCTGCTCGGGGAATACAGTGAGCGTGATGGTTGTACTGTCGAGAGCAAGGACTGCTGGCACATGCTGTGTGTGTGTGTGTGTGTGTGTGTGTGTGTGTGTGTCAGACTGCATGACAACATCTGGAGGCAAAGCAAACACGGGGGTGGGGAAGGACGGTAGGAGCCCACTGAGGGAGATGGTTGTATTCCTGAAGGGTCCAGGTCTCACACACACACACTGTCCTCTCTCGGCCACCCCTCCTCTGCTCTGGCCCTGGTCATTCTCCAGAGAAGCTGGGGTCATTAGCTGCTCTGCGGGCAGCGCTGGGCACCGTGCTGGGCGCGCCACAATAGGTACTTGTTGAGCGCCTTGACTCTTCACTAGTGACTCACAGAACCCTGGGGCACAAACACTGGCCTGCTTCATGTCTGCGGAGGCCGGCTCGGCGACAGACCAAGAACGGCGGCCATTTGCACAGACAGCGCTAGTGTCCAAGAATGCATGCCGGTGCATTCCCACCCAGGGGACACCACTGCTCGGGTCTCAGTGCACAAGCGGGGGCCCCAGAGGGAAATGCTCCACCTCGGTGCGGGCGTGCAGAGGGCTCCGCTTGCAGCCCCGGAGGAAGGGCGTCCTCTGCATCTGGAGAAGAATGCACGCGCCTTTTCGGGTTCGGGTGGGTTTTTCTTTCTTTTTCATCAATTTCTTAGCCGTTTAAAAAGAATTAAAATGGCGACAGAGTGGTTGCAGGTTGGGCAGTTAACCCCAAGGTCAGCAGTTCAAAACCGAGACACGATTCTGTACCCGTAAAGAGCTACAGTCTCGGGAGCTCACAGGAGCCGTTCTACCGTGTCTTACAGGGTTCGCTGTGGGCCGCGCTGACTTGGCGGCAGTGCACTTGGATGTCGGGTTTTGAAAACGCCACCTCTGGGTTTGAGAGCTGCTATTACACCTGTGCTTGTGAAGGGACCCGGGACGGTGTGACTGACGTAGCAGATGCCTTCAACAGCTGGACTTCAACGTGGGCCTCCACGCCCCCCACATAAGGGGGCTCTGAAGGTGCCCCAACCTCAAGGGCCCAGAAGAGGCCGTCAGAGAGGCAACCCGTTTCCAGAGGACCTCCTTTCCGGGAGGGCAACTCACCGCGCGGAAATGGCTGGCTGCGATGCGGATCAGCCAGCCTTCCGGGAAGAAGTTGACATGGCGGACTGCCTCCAGATCTGGGCCTTGGGAGTCACACAGAGAGCACTGAGAAGGGTTTATCCCTCACAGAGCTTCCAGGAAAGGGCAGAAGAGGGAGGAAAGGGGGAATGTGGGTTTTATTTGGGATTGGAAGGATAAAAAGAAAACACCATGGAAACCGTGCTTGTATTCACCCTCAATGAACAAATGAGCCTCTTAAGAGCTATCTATTATCTATCTATCT